ACTCCAAGAACGCCCGCGACATTGGCCAACGAGCATTGCGCATACGGCGCTGGAGCCATTGTCCTAGCGTCCTGTCCAAGGCCTACCAGAACCCACTCCCTGCATTGTCGCCTGTCGCTCGTTGCCTGTCGCCCGTCACCGTCATCGCTGATCGCTGCCCGAGGGACACGACCAGCCCACTTCTGCGACAATACCTCTTCTGAAGACGCGCCCAGCGGCGGCTGACACTGCGCATACATTGCCCATCATGACGACCCAAATACCCATGATTTCGGTCCCGCTCAAGCAGACCAACGAGATTGACTGGATAGCTCCACTGAAACAGTACATACGAGCCACGTACGGTGACGACCCAGAACGTTACTCGGAAGAATGCGCCACGTTGAACCGCCTGCGCCAGGACATGAGAGGCGCTGGCAAAGACAGTGCAGCAGGGAGAGATTTACTGTATCGCTATTACGGACAGCTGGAACTACTCGATTTGAGATTCCCAGTGGATGAGAACCACATCAAGATTAGCTTTACGTGGTACGTTCTTGGAATTGTGGCTGCAGAGGCACGAGCAGTGCATGGAAAGCGAGGACAGATTAGGTAGATGTAGGACAGCCACCACTGACTGACGACAGGTTTGATGCTTTTACACACAAGCCGACTTCGCAATACTCGCTCGCATACGAAAAGGCCAGCATCATCTTCAACATCTCAGCCGTCCTATCCTGCCACGCCGCCCACCAGAATAGACATGAGGATGTGGGGCTGAAGACTGCGTACCACTCCTTCCAGGCATCCGCCGGCATGTTTACATACATCAACGAGAACTTCCTCCACGCACCCTCGACCGATCTTAGTCGGGAGACTGTCAAGACGCTGATTGCCATCATGCTAGCGCAGGCGCAAGAGGTGTTTCTCGAGAAGCAGATTGCAGATGGAAAGAAGGTTGGCTTACTCGCAAAACTGGCGAGCCAGGCTGCATTCTTGTATACACAGGCTACAGAAGGCGCACAGGAGAATGTCACCAATGCTGTGTTTGAGAAGGTTTGGCTGTTGGTTTGCCAGGTAGGAGCATCACAGCCGTACTTGAAGGTCAAGACTGACTGCTCAACAGATCAAATCACACCATATGGCTTCTTTGGCCCAATACTATCAGGCCCTAGCAGACGATGACGCAAACTCACACGGTGTCGCAATCTGTAGACTTCAGGTCGCCGAAGCAAGCGCCAAAGACGCGACTCGAGCTGCAGGCAGTTTTCCCAACAATGCACCTGCCAATTCAAACCTCGCTTCAGACACAGGTAGTATATTGTCAGATATGACTAAAAAGCATTTAGCGAATGTACAGGAGAAGTTGGCCGAGTTTTCAAAAGACAATGACTTCATCTACCACCAAGGCATTCCAAATGAGGCGTCGCTTACGCCAGTATCGAAGATGCCTGCGGCGAAAGCGATACCCGTCAGCGAGCTATACCAGGGCCAAGACATCCAAAGAATCATCGGACCGGACATCTTCCAGAAGATCGTGCCTCTAGCTGTGACTGAGTCAGCCAGTCTATACGACGAAGAAAAAGCCAAACTCATCCGCGCGGAGAGCGAGCGAGTCGAAGTAGCCAACGACGAGATGGCTGCTGGCCTGGATTACCTGAAGCTTCCCGATAGTCTCAATGTCATAAGAGGTGGTATGGATCATGACATGATGGTTGATAATGATTTCCGAATGTGGTGCGAGGAGCTTGCTGGACACCAATCGTTTGGAGCGGCTTTTGAGCAACTGGATCGCGACAAATCTGAGATTATCAATTCACTGGAGTCAAGTATGAAACAGTTGGACATGGAAGAAAGCGTTTGCGAGAAAATGAGATCAAAGTACGGAGCAGAATGGACGCAGCAACCCAGTTCGCGCCTAACCTCGACATTGCGGAGCGACATCAGGAATTACCGTGGAGCGGTTGAAGAGGCAAGCAACAGTGATGCTCAACTCTACAGTACATTCCGCCAATACGAAGCCGACTTTGACGAAATGCGATCGGCCGGTGAGACGGACGAAGCCGATGTGTTATACTCGAGAGCCATGGTCAAGGCTGGTGCAACCAAGGGAAAGAGCCCCAGGCCAACTGAAGGGACTCTGATTGATGAGGACATTGACGAGGGACCTTCGGTTACAGACCAGATTGGTGCTGTTGAGGATATCCTGCGGAAGCTGAATCTTGTCAAAAAGGAGAGGATGCAGATACTGAAGGACCTCAAAGACAAGGTAAGCATGCCAACTCGAGTTTTGAAGTGCACTTTACTGACCAGATAGGTTCACTCTGACGACATCTCCAACGTTCTCATACTTAACAAGAAAGCAATTGCAAACCAAGAGGCCCAGTTGTTCAAAGCTGAGCTTGAAAAGTTCCGGCCACACCAAAATCGCATTCTACAGGCAAACCACAAACAGGCATCACTTCTCAAGGAACTTACGCGCACTTACTCAGACCTGCTAAAAGACAAACGTGTACGATCTGAGCAGAGCAAATACGAGGCCTTCTCAAGGCAACGGAATACAGTCATGACCAAGTACCGGAGAGTGTACCAGAGCTTCAATGATCTTGTTGCTGGCTTATCACGTGCCCAGAGCTTTTACTCAGAGATGAAGGACACGGTCTCAAGTCTCTCGAAGAATGTCGAAACTTTTGTTAATAACCGAAGAGGAGAAGGCGGGCAGCTTCTCTCGAAGATAGAAGAGCGGAACAAGGCGCAAGGCGCAGACCAGGAACAACAACGAATGAAGGAACTTATGGAGAGAATGTCGATGGAGCCTTCTGGTTCGCCTGTATCACAGGGCTCAGGCCGAAAGAAGAGCATACCGCCACCATTGTCGTCAACTCCTAATTACCCATCAACCTCAGGGGCTAGCCACGCAGCGTATAATCCTGCAGCCTCACCACCTGTCACGCCACGCTACCCCGCCACTACAGCCCCAGCCCAGCAGCAGTACATGTCGCCACAGCAAGGCTACAGTCAACCGTCAAACAGCTATAACCAAGCTCCTCCACGACGAGAGAGTTACCAGCAACAATACGCCCATCAATCACAGTCGTCACAGTCTTCTTCAGGCTACAATCCTGCAGTCCATAACCAATACAACCCGGTTTCTCCCCCTGCGCATCAGCAGTTCTTTTCTCCACCGCCGGCTCAGCATCAACAACACCAGCCTTGGGGTCAGCCTCCACAGCAGCAGCAACAATGGAGTGGTACGCCACAGCCACCCAACCTGCCGCAAGGCTACGTTCCTCCTCCCCCACCGCCTGGACCCCCGCCTAGCCATCAGCAAGACTACAGCCATTTTTCTCAGCCTGGATATCCGAGTGGAGCAGGGGGTTACGCTCATCCGCAGCGACAGGGAGGACAGAATCAAGGTGCGGGTGGAGCGCATGATCCCTGGGCGGGATTGAGCGGTTGGAAGTGAGGGATGGTAGAAGGACGTGTGGGGAAAGGAGGCGGAATTGATGTTAGTTTAGTGAATAGGTAGTGTCGTAGAGGGAGTTAGCATCGCAATTGGATGTATTTCTTTTACTTCTTGACTTCTGTTTTGTGATGATCATTAGTATATGAGTGGAACTTTTGTTGAGTGTAGGCTAGCCTCCTCTTTTCTTCAGAAATCGTTATACAAGTTCATACAACTTAGTTATCTCGTCGTATTCCCACAATCGTAAGAGACCAGACCTAATCAAAAGCTAGTTTATTTCAACCTGTTCGGTGAATTATGACAACCCCTAACAAATCTAGCCTTTTGTTTCCCCCCCTCCTCTTCAGCCCAAGAGAATCACGTACCCCTACATTTGGGGGCCACCGAGTAAAGCGAAGGGACCTTCAACCTCCCTCATTCCTCCTTTTTACCTCTTCCCGCCCAACGCAAACTCCAACTCAGGATACTCCCTCCACAGATTGACAAGCGGCAAAAACATCTTCCTCTTCACCTCCTTACCTTCCTTCTCAGCCTTCGCTTGCTCCCCAGCCCATGCCCACATCTGACTCCAGGGTACCCACACCCACGCTGCGCATTTGTGCGGCTCCATCGGCTATTTCATGTGACAAATCGCGTTAGCAAGGTTGTCAACCCTTCCCCCCCCGTCCTCCTCCTCCTCCGGAGAAGCACAGAATTGCAAAAATGCATAGAAGAAGAAGAAGAGAAAAAAAGAACCAAGAGGTGGATGAAGGAAATTGGAAGGAGGGAGGGGGTGAAACACACACACACACCTTGGCCACCTTCTCCTCCCCGACAATCGTACACGTGACAAAAATAGTAACGTAATGTTTGCCCTCGCCAAACACGTCGTTTGTAGCGGTTAGGAACTTGATGTTGCCGACCTCGAGACCGGTTTCTTCGAGGACTTCGCGGGCCGCAGTTGCGGCGAAGGATTCGGAGTATTCGAGGTGGCCGCCGGGACATTGGAATGTGCCTTTTGGGTATTACGTTGGTTTACGAAAGGGCTAAAGGAAAGGGGGGGAAAGTTTACCTGCACCATGGCTGCCTGCGCGCTCGCCCATGATGATGTTGCCAGCCTCGTCGTGGATGATGGCGGCAACACCGACTTTGGGACGTTGAGCTTCTGACATTTTGCGATAGTATATATATATATATATATTTGGTACTTTGAAAACTTGTTATGAAAACAAAAGAAGAAAGAAGAAGAAGAAGAAATGGAATTGAGAGAAAGAATATCACTTTATAAGAGAAGAAGGAAAGAAAGAAAGAGGTTAGATATTTATGTATGATTCATTCACACAAAGGACATAGCCCCGCTTACTCGCGTGCCTAGTATAAGTAAGCGGGCAAATACACATGGTACTTAAAAAGCACAGCCTAAGGCTAACACGAGCATTTTCCTTTCCTTATCTAGCTTAGCCCTTCCAACCCCCCGCATCCCCCATCCCCCCATCTCCAACCATAACCACGACAACAAACCAAACCTACATATAACACACGTAAACCCCACACAAAAAACGAACATCTATGTAATCTACCGTCCCCTCCACCCCTGAATCTCATCCAAGGTCAAAACATAGGCATCCGCATAAATCCTCTTTAGCAACTCGACCCCATTCCACACGCCACCACTAATATACTCACCACCCCAAACCACAAACCACGCCCAATCGGCACGATATGCCACCAACTCACCAGGCTCCATGACACTCCCGACCTCTGTCGCGGCGACAATCTTCTCCCGCTGGCCCAGCTTCAACAAGGCATTGTACGTAGCAGACTGGGGTCCATGATCCCCCTGCGCATACGTATCCGCAGACACGATATCCACGACATCGTCGCCGGGATACCAGTCTGGAGACACGGAATTCCAGACCCAGAGCAGGTTGTGCAAGTTGTGCACGTTGGTGAGGCGGTCGTAGAGGATGCGGTAGAGTTGTTTTGCGGGGGCGGCGCCTTTGGCGCCCCACCAGAACCATGCGCCTTCGGCTTCGTGGAGCGGTCGGAATAGGACGGGGACGCCGGCGGATTGCAAGGTTTTGAGCTGGGCGGCGACCGTGTCAATGTCGTGCATGAGGAGCGTGTAGTTTGCGTTGGCGGGCGAGGATAGCGCCGTCGAAATGTCAAAGTCTGTTGCGCGCGTGTAGAAGCCGGACCACCACGGTTGCTCGGTTGTGTCGTAGAGACCGGTCGGGGCGCCCCAGTGCCAGACAAAGGTTACGATGCCGCCTTTTTTGGAAAAGGCGAGGGCGTGGTCGATGTCTTTGGATGAGGCGCCGCGGGAGGTGCGGGAGTCGGTGTAGTCCATTAGGTCGAGGCCGAGGATGGCGGGTGTCTTGCCGACGTTGGTGGTTACCCAGTCCAAGGAGGCTTGGTCTTGTTGGCCCGAGAGAATTTTCTTGCCGTAGATGCTGACGAGGTATTTGAGGAGTGCTTTGGCGTCGGCATTGGCTTTTGGGTTTACGGGGGTTGTAGTGATGTTGTGGGGAGGTCGCTGGGCAGTGGGCGTGAGGGTGATGGCGTCGATGAGGTACCAACCCCAGTTGCTCTGGATCTCAACTGTGTTTATGCCTGCTTTGAGAAGCACCTGGCCGGCTGGTACGGTTGTCCAACTTGTCGTCGCGGGGAGACTGACTTGGCTGCCGCCTGCGTTGTTAAAGACAACGTTGGTGAATTTATCGCCGTAGGGTCCGTTGTAGATCAACTCGAGGTCGTGAAGACCCCCGGTTTGGCTGGTGATGTTAAAAGTGACTTTGTCTGTGGCATCTGAGAAGCCTTCTACGTATCCGGTTCCTAGACGAACACTGGTTTAGTGGGACTGTACATGTAAGTTGCAGACAGTGAAAACGGATTTACCTGTAAAGCCCGCAACCGAAGATCCAACCGTTGTACCAGAGAGCGTAGCATCCTCTGCTTGAAGAGTAATCTTCTGGCCTACAGCCAGCCCAAAGAGAGCCGCAGCAGCAAGAAGTGGTCCAAACATCTTCTCTCAAAAGAAAAAGAACAAGGCACCTGAGCACTACGTACCTACTACACTCACCCTAGCTCTTCATTTATATATCCCATCCATCACTCTCGTTACACATGCAAATTCTTAGTCAAGCCCTTTAACCCGGACACTCCAAATTCCGTGCCTCGACACTAGTTTAATTTGATAGGGTTGGCATACATGATGCCACCTTTGGAACCTCTCCACAAGAGACCTAGACAGTGGCCAAAAACGGAGGGTTCCCACACCTAACGTGACTATGGCAATATCGCTAAATGAACTAGGCGAAAAGGGCAAGGATGTCATGCCCACCAATCAATGTGAAACGGACCACCACACTCCGGGCCCATAAAGGAAGTACAGACGAGCATCTCGGATGAAGGGTAGTGCTAGTCCATGTGATTGGGAAATACTGCGCGTGCCTTGCTGTATTGTAGTGACGCTATACTATGCGTAGAAGGTCTTTGTACTCTTTCATCGGAAATGATAAATTCATGTCTATATGCACCGGGCATGGCTTTGCCTTGCCGTAAACGTACTCACAACCTATGCAGACTTGACCAGCTGGGTGATGTCGTCAACATCCTTGGGTGTCGGTGTCAAGTTGTCCACCCCGTCCTTCGTAATGAGCACATTATCTAAATCATGTCAGCTCCGCGGAACTTTGTTTAAACCACCATTACTTGGTCACCGTCATCACTTACCTTCAATTCGGACTCCTCCTACTGCCCAGTACTTGTCCAACACACTCTCATCAATATACTTCTTCTTCTCTTCGTCCTTGAGATATGGCTCAATGATGAACTTGCAAAAGTAGATTCCAGGCTCAACAGTAATCACGCTGCGCTCTGGTAGCGCCCCACGTGTCCGGAGATATCGAAACATGACATCCTTGTCCGCATAGTTTGCATTGCCGCCAGTGTCATGAGTGTCCATTCCAAGGTAGTGGCCCAGACCGTGTGGGAAAAATGCGACACTAATTCTTTTGTTGAACAGCTCTTCTGCATCTCCCTTTAGGATGCCGAGATCCAAAAGCCCCTTGATAGCAATCTTGTGAGCTAGTTCGTGGACATGGTCCCACACGACGCCAGTCTTGAGTGCATTGATACATTGCAGCTGCATGTCTAGAACAATCTTGTAGATGGCCAGAGACTCGGCTGTGAATGTGCCTTTGATGGGGAATGTGCGTGTGATATCTGAGGCATAGCAGTCGAGCTCGCATCCGGCATCCAGCAGCAGAAGATTCTGGTCTGTAATTGGCGCGGCATTGTGAACATAATGTAGTGTGGCTGCGTGCTCTCCTGCAGCGACAATGGAGTGATAGGCCTGATTCTTTGCATTGCGCTCAACGCAGGCCTTGAGGAAAACTGCTTCGAGTTCGCATTCGTTTTGCGCCTTGGAAGCGGCCTTCATGACGGCTACGTGAGCTGCAGTAGAAATGACGTTTGCCTTACGGATAAGGGCAACCTCGTAGTCCGTCTTAATAACTCGGCAGTACTCAATAGCAGTTTTGAGTTGAGTAAACTCCTTTTCCTTGAACGCGATAAAGGTTACGTGGTCCGATACCTGTTCTGGGATGGCATAGATTGTTGATTGTGATGATTCGGATGTGCTGGCAAGATGCGAGTTTAGCTCGTCGGTGGTGAAGCACTCGTCAATATCGTATTTCGCCTTTGCTTCCTCTGGGCTCATTGGCAGGCCTGACCAGATGACCTCATCCGGGTGCACAGGAGGAATGAAAAGTGTCAGCTTCTCAGTAGCCATCTCATATTTGAGGTACGAGTCTGGGAGCTCACAACCACTAAGATAGAAAAAGTAGCGTCGCTGTCTAGAGGCGGGGGGTGGTTAGCATATGTCCCTCACAAGTCTTTCGTCTTGTCCTTCTTACCGGAATGGCGCCTCGCCATCGTTATCTTCATTCAGCTTCTGCTTCTGAGCCTCCAGGTAAATCGTTCCATTCTTATCTCCGCCTTTGCTCACCAACCACTCCTTGACCTTTTTCGCATGCTCTTTAGCTGGGTACTTGCCCTTGAGGACCTCGTCGTAGTTCTCAGCAATGGCCATTTTGGTCACGTTGATCCAACTGTCACTCTCTGTAGATAGGCTGTACAAGCACGGTGTTGCAGTTGCGGAACTCGCTAATCGTCGTTGCGAAGTTCGTACAGCAGTAGTACGCAGGGTGTGTCGAAGGGAGCGACTAATTTGGGGCAAGAGGTTGTACATAAGAAGGGGAAGGGGGCGTGACCTGTCGGAGCTGCCTCGTCAGTTGATTAGATGCAAAAGATAGCTCGGGTTGGGAAGGTGGGGGTGGTGGGGTGGTGAGACTCGAGTCTGGCAGGCGCGGCTCTTAGTCCGACGAAATACTCGGATAAAAACCACACCCACCAAAACAGCATAATGTTAATGAGATACAGCTTCACATCGGTATTATAAAATAATATATTCTTTCTACGATAGTCAATCTGATACGCTTGACGCCAAACAGACACAAACAACTAAAGCCACATCTATTTTTTTTAAAAAAAATCGCGTCGCAATGCACGCGGCTCATTGCAAATAGTAGCTTTGCTTTCATAGGGGTTGTTTTTAATCCGGGTATTCCGTCGGACCATGAGACGGGTAGCCGCGGTTATGCGATTCACGAGCCTTTATGGATGAGGAAGGTGTGATTCCACCTACCAACTGGTTGTTGTGGCAATGATGGGCGTTATAGGAAAGCTGTGTTTGATAAAAAAAAACAATATTATAACATTGTCGTTTGATACATCCGCTAGTACGCGTAAAACTATGTAATCATGTCTATGAATTTCTGAAACTTTATTACAACGTGCCAACAACCCCTAGCCATGAAGAAAAGCAAGAAAGTTGCAAACACCTACGCCGTGCCATGTCATTGCCCGAAATTGGGTATCCCTTTTATCATTCAGGTATAAAGATGCAGTGAAACAAAACGATCCTGCAGGCGTTGCAGCCAAGCGAACAATGGCACGACATGGTTTTTTCTATGGGTTATAGGCCCATGGCCACGACACCCAGCACTAGTCTGCTCTACGGCGATATGCAAGTGTCGATGCTGGAAACAATGCGTCGGTTATGGTCAGGCTTCAAAGCTGCAGGACTGATATTTTTTTCAACAAACAAAAGGCCAGCTAGTCTTGCCAACGCCTGAGGAACTTGGCCATGTCGTCGGTGGCGTGAGGCGCCGGGGCAACCTATAGATTAGTTAGCAAATATTCCCAATTGGCCTGAGCATAAAAGGCCGCATATGCTCGTTGCCAGTCATTCGAATAACATACCGTATTCGCCCTACTCTTGGTAGAAAATGTTTGCGTAGCCGTGAGCGTAATCACCTGGCTAGGAGTCGGCAGCTTGGTTTTGGCAATCCTGACACTGCTGGTAGGGTACATTGGCTTGGTGTTGGTTGCAGTAACCTTGGTGCCAGGCACAGGCTGCATGGGCGCATAACGAGTGATGTCGGTCTGCATTGTATATTCGACAGCATATAGATCACCACCAGCCGCCGGGTCTTTATCGGTCAAAGTATCTTCACTTGCCGGTCCAGCTGTACCAGTGACGGAGGTGGCAGCCTTTTCCACAGTCGGATTGAGGATGTTCTTGCCAGTCATGCCGGAGAAGGAAAAGCGATCAGAGTAGACAATGTACTGGCCGTCGCCAGTCTTGCCAGTTGCGATCATCTTGACAAAGCTGCGATGCTGGCATTAGTCTTGTGCTAGAGTGAAGCTCAAGGAATCTGGAGCGGGGCACGTACTATGCATTGGCATCCTTGAGGTCTTCTGATACACCTGCTTCCACCCTTCCTGAAGCTGCGTTACCCGCCGAGAATAAGCCGCTCGGGGTAATGGTAGTCACGATCATCTAGTAGAGCTGTCAGCATACAGCCTCTATGGTCGTTGCCCCAAGCTCAGCTTACTTGTTCCTCGCCCTTGTTACCTCCAACTACCAGCTGCAACTGGTAAGCCTTCAGGTCCGCAAGTTTGGGCCCCGCATCAGTTTCTGACCATTGAACGGTAATGGCAGAGCCGGCGACAAGTGCGGAGCCAGCCGCGGGGGCAGTGAACTTGATGCCAGCGTGTACGAGGGGAGATAGGGTGGCGACGACTGCAGCGAAGGGAACGAGTATCCGTGTCATGGTGGGCGTGGTTGGGGCGTAGAATGTGCGACGGGGGAGCGATAATGGAGCGAGTGGCTGAGGCGAATTTGCGACTCTGTATACGGCAGCGGTGGAGGTGGAGGCGTGGACGAGGCGGGTATTTGTTAGTACCCAGAGCGTGAAGTGTGCAACAAGTCCGGACTCGTTCAACGAGACTGTGGCGCGCCAGGGGCACACGATCGTCGTTGCCGCGCAAGCTAAAACTTGCCCGTAACAGGGATGCGCACGCATGTCATTGCGTAGCCTCAACACAGCACAACGCACCGCCAAAAAAAATGCCATGTTCTCATGTAGTCATCTGATAGTGGTGCCCAGTCGAAGCCGCACGGTGGAGCTTGCTGATCAACGGCGCCAGCATCGATGACTATTGGCATTCCAATCTTCCGTAAGCCGCGATTGATAGACTTCCCGCACAGCCTTGGCAGCGGCAGTCGTCACTCTGGAACTGGAACGGTACCTGAATCTAGAGTACATCATCATTCGGGTCTCCACAAACAACCGTCAAAAAGTGGGCTCGTGCGTTTGCGCGCCAACGAATTTCAACATTTCTTCCTATGCACCTTTTTGGTGTCTATAGTACACAATGACCCGCTTGCCCAGGCTCGATCTCGATGCCTCTGTTTTGCTAAGTATTACCCAAACGCCGATTTCATGCTCAAGGGGGGGGGGGATATCCTGAAAACTCGAAACAACAAGGAGAATGACGCTTCATCTCGCGTCTGCTCAGTCTCTCCATACACATCTCAGTCTCTCAGTCTCTCTTCGTCGTAACCAACACTCACGCTACCTGCGCATTACGCATCTTGGGGGTACCCAATCGAAGGTTAAAAGTTGTTGGCAGCCGGCACGTCATGGTGGCAGCCTGACCCGCCTTTTGCAGCTGCAGTGTCAGTTCGCGGAGCTTCTCTGGAGTGAAGATCTGGACGTCAAACGATAGCAAGAACTCGACACACAGCTCCAGACGGCTGAGGGCTGCCTCGTCAACACCACCGACGGCGGCAAAGCGCTTCTGAGGCCATCGGTGATCCTCGAGCGCCTTCATGGCCACCAGTGCACAGGCCAAGATAAGCCGGTGCATGGTGCGATAAGTCAGTGGGACGCTCCTATCGATAACGCACAGGCGCAGCATGTAGGATCCAGCCGCTAGCCAGACGGCAGTCGATAACGGGCAAAATTTCTGAATGCGATTCATGTACTCTTCGACGCCCACCTTTGGCACCGTCTTGGAGAAGAATTTCCTGGCCATGTTGGCCCGCTGCACCGCCTCGGGCTGGGCTCCGGCTCCGATGTCGTGGATGGTGACGGGCTCGTCGTGGCTCGCTTCTGGCGGAGCTAGTTCGGTAGGCTGATGGCTTTCCTTTTCGGCGGGTATAGGCGTGGCGGGTCTAGAAGAGGTTCTTCGGTGGTGTCGAACGACCTGGGTCTCCCGGCCGCCTGGAGTTGCCGGTCGCGACAGCGGTGGTGTGGCTGGCACGTCGCCTGCAGCGTTTGCTATGGCGATGATGGAGCGTGCAATCAATTTCATGGCCGTCTCGCGTGACATGCTAAGCACGTCGAGCTCATCATCGTTTACTGGTGGGGATGGAGCGTCCTGGAGGCTGAGGCTGTTGAATTCTGGGAGAACACCCGCGTCTCCGGCTGGGTTTGGTGCTGTAGGGGGATTCATTGTTGTTTGATTTTGTATGACCGGTGCGAGGACGAGTCGCCTCGGATGCACGGTCTTGAGAGGAGGGGTAGGGTAGCAGACTTGGATCATTTGGACGTGTGGATTAATGACGTGGCGCCGAAGTCTACCGATTGACCACACAGACGGAAAGTGTGTCGAGAGAGAGGGCCAAGTGATTATGTGAAATGTCTGCATGGAATCAGCATGCGTTGGGTAGAGAGTCATGGGTGTTGGTCGGGCTTACAGCAGGATGGGGTGAAGGGTGATATGGACCGAGTTTTTTTTTGGCTACCACTTATTATAATTATTATTTTTTTCTTGCCCTCTTTTGGTCTGTGTATACAGATTGCAATTGAGAACGAGGACTGGCAGAGAGAAATGATTTAACAGAGGCGGTGGTGGAGTTTGGAAGGGTGGGAGTGGGTGGAGAATAAGAGGAGGAGCAGCAGCAGCAGCAGAGATGGTCAGGGGGAAATGTCTGAGCGGCAGAGTTGTGGTGATATGAAGATTCTGAAAGACACGATAGACGATGGCTCGGGGCAGAGCGTGGTTTGTAGGTCAAGTGACGCTAGGAGGAAGTGAACTTGTCTTAAACAAGATGGTCGGACGTGTAGCCAGACGACGCGTGCTTCCGAGGGCCGGGGCTATATGGCAGACAGGGAGGCCATGGAAGGGTAACTGTGTGCTAGCTGGCTTAGCTGCTGGTACGGCGGGCGCACGCCATCAGGGAGGCTTGAGGCACGGAGGATGGAGTAGGAGGCGAGGCAGGCAGGCGGGCAGGCAGGCAGCGTGTGGGTCGGGGCGCAAAGGTACGTGGAGGGCTAAGTGGGCGTCTTGGGTGGGCCACAGGGCCCAGGAGCGGGTCTCGTGAAGAGCAAAAAGGGCCAAAGCGCTGGCCCACCGGGCCGTCGACAGTCAGTATAGGCAGAAGAGGGACACCAAGGGGAGCAGCAGAGAGGGAAAAAGCAGAGGGTGAGGGGGGCCAGCGTCTGGGAGGTGGCGGGCGTGATTGGCGGCTGGCTGACTTGTTAAGCAAGAAGCAACGGGATGAGCACATGCATGCGGCCTTTGGCTCGGGGGGGAAGAGAAGGCGACGAGGGGGGGGAAGGATTGCGGAGCGCGTTCCGGACCATGGGCTTGTCTGGAGGAAGCAGTGCTGGATATTGGACAGGGCACGCCAGGGCACGCCAGGGCGGGCTGCGGGGGGTTGCAGACGAGCTGCAGGGTCCAGTAAGGCGGTAGAAGAAGCAAAGAAGCCTTTTGGCAATATTCAAGAGGACGAGCTGCGAGTCGGAGAAAGGGAGGGCGGCCCATGGTTAGTGCTGCGCATGTATCGCCTATGGCTATGGCTATGACTAGGACTAGGACTAGGACTAGGACTATGTCTATGTACTAGTGTCATCCATCCATGTACATACTCTGTGTTGTCCGCACATCTATGTGCACACATGTACATGGAGGTACTTAGGCACTCTACCGCTGCTGCTACTGTACTCTGTACATGCACACACACGTCGACGGCGGCGGCGGCATTGTTCTCGGCTCGCCCATTGAGTCGTTTGCCCCGTCTTTTGCCTCCCCGCCGCCCCCATGTTTCCCCTCCCCCTGGCGCCCTCGAGATCTGCCATCGTGACCATCTCCCGTCCAGTAGAGTACCTGCACTCACTCACTCACACATCCATACTTACTCCCTATCTACTACTCCCTGACTAAAATACCACATAGTTCCATGCTCGCTCTGCACAAAGCATACATATGCATACTTGGACAGGCGCGGGGAACGGCCCTAGCGAATGCAGCCTCTGTCGGATTAGGATTATGCACCACGCCCACCGTGCGGGCAACACACCCTCTCTCACCCACATCCACAGCCCGCCACTCCCTCCACACCCTCCACTCCCTCCACCACGCCCGCACTGCACATCAACCTCCCCATCTGGCTGCGTCGCGGAGCCGGGCTGCGGTTTCACCAGCCCTCGCATCGCCCACGCTGCAGCGGATCGATGCACACGCAAATCATGGACATGCCGAGCATATGCACCTCCACGTGTTCGCGCAGACTGCCCGGCCCAAGTGGCGCCTTGCACTCGCCCACAGCCGGTCCGCGTCCACCCTCACGCTGCCACACGCGGAAGTGATTGACACATGTCAGCGCACCCCATTCTCCGCTGCCATCGCTGACACCATGGTCGATCGACGCCCGACCGCCCGTCCTTTGTCCCGGGCCACGGGTCGCTGGTCACGGGAGTCGTATCCAACGGATCCCAGCCCATTATAGTCCCGCTGGACCGTTGGATATGCCCTGGGCCCGTTAGATTTGCCATCTTGCTATAGTAGTAGCACACAGTAGTAATCGCGCCGCCAAACCCATCGTACGGTACAGCGGAGCGTGCATGTCCGCTACACAAAGGCCGGCATTCGCTATCAGCCAACCAACCAAACCATTCCACCTACTAACTAGCCAGCACACAGCACACAGCACACACTGCTCACCCATCTCTTCCCTTTCTACCATGTCCCATCCAACGGGCACTCAGTCCCAGCCACGACCCAAGCAAAACCCAACGAACCAATGCAACCTGCAATCACTCACTGGCGGCCCAACAAGAAAACACTCTCCAACGCCCTACATTGCGCCATCTATCCCATCTGCAACACACCCACACCAGCCAGCCAGCCAGCCCCCCCCCCGTCCCTGCATCCCCCCAGTTTCCCGAAAAAAAAACGTCACCGTACATGACTGGCTTGGCTCCAAAGCAAGATTCTATGCAGTAGTCCTGGCCTAAGATCCTCACTGCAAAACACAAAAGTCTCATGAGAGAGTTCGCTAGTACAAGAAAACACAAACTTGTTGACCGCCCTTGGGACCGGCGGCGCTCGTATACGGCGAATATATGTGTCACTGATGCTTTCATTGCTTACCCACATATATATATATGTACATGAGCTAAGTACTCACGTACCCTCTTTTATTCGGAATAACTCCGAGTGCGTGTAGTTTCTCCATTCTATGCCTACATTGGTAATGTGGCCCCGAAACTGGTCTGTCATTGTATCAATGTCTGTTCCCTGTCCTTTCTCTCCTTCAATCGCCCCATTATCACAAGCCAGCAATCCATGCACCTTCAGACAAAAACCTTGTTTGACTTCTTCTTCAATCCCGTCCTCTCCTGACTCATACAGGAATAAACACTTGTTTTCTTCTCCCCTTTTTTTCTTTTGTTTGCTCGTATCCTCGAATATGCAAAGAGATTGAATGCAGACTTAGTATCCACGCTACAGCAAGCCTTACAAGGAAACTTGCATACTTGCATACATAATACCCACCTTCATACATATACATACATTGATCAAAAATCAAACCCGACCTTCGATACGTGTCCCCACCGGTTCTCTCTTTCTCTACTGCTGCTGCTACTGCTGCAGCACCATGCATCTTTCTTTTGCACTTTCCTCCCCTCCCCCCCACACACCCAATTGAGCAAAAAAAAACTCCGGCATTTCGTTCTTGGCTACTGTGTATGCATGTACATACCACATTAGTTTCCTCCCCACAGTCACGATCATCATCATCATCGCCGTCGTCGTCGTCGTCATCATAGGACAAAAAAAACATCAACAATCACATGTTCCACATACCGGAACGAGATAGACCGAGGATTAGAAAAGAGACAAAGCCAGAAAGAAGAAGAAGAAAAAAAAGTGCCGTAACAAACTACCGAATAAACTCTGTCTCTCTCTCTCTCTCTCTCTCTTTTTTTTAGAAAACCCCATACACACACAGGCCGTACTTGTGCCACAATAAAAAATGGGATATATATTTTTTCCCCATGGCTGACGTCAGCCAGAAGACAAGAAGAAAAAAAAAGGGACAATATTGCCGCATGGCACTTGTACTTGTGTCGAACGTCGTATCCAGCCCCAAACCCCTCTCTCTCTCTCCACCCCATACTTACGTGTACACATATATGCTTTCCGTCCACAATTCTTTTTTTTTTGCAATTCTCTTCTCAAAACATTGTCAAAAAAATCCAAAAAAAAGATCGCAAGAGAGAGAGAGACACACACACACGCACACACACAAAAAAAGCAGTCCAACAATGAGAATAGAGATTCAATCATTATGATTTCCTCCTTCTCCACCCCCACCCCCGCCGTCTAACCTTGACTCTCTCACTACACTTGACTAACCCTCGCCCTCTTCCTCGTACTCCCCGGCACTACACTCGGTCCCCCACTACTCCTCACCGGCGTATCCTCCCCACTACTCTTCTTCTTCTCCCTCTGATCCAGCACCAGCTGCAGCACATCATACGAGAACTGCGGGAACTCGAGACACATTGCTTTAAACTCTGGCTCTGCATCGTGGCGCAGGCTGTAGCTGCGTGTAGCCCAAAAGGCCGCGACGGGCTTGCGGATAGTCGCGTCTTCTGGGTCTGATTCCTTGTAGACGTAGCGGGCGTATGCGAGTTCACCTTTTGCCGTCGAGGCAGTACGGTGGATCTTGGAGTGGGCGAGGGATTTGAGCTCGGGGAGTTGGAGGCGCTCGGCGAGCGTGTAGATGCGGGCGTGGACGAGGAGGCCGACGCCCTCGTGGTCGATTTCGGGTTGGCGCGGGTCCTTTTCTAGCGAGGCGTCGCGTGCGGATGACGTCTTCTTGGGGAAGTATTCGCCCGTGTAGAGGTACTCGACTACGGAACCCATGGCGTCTATGTCGCAGTCTGAATAGACAATTTGACGCGGCTAACGTGGTATCAGCTGAACAGTGTACAGACCATACCGTGACTGTTGGAGGTGCTATTTACCCCTCCTGGCGCAAACTTCTCCACATGTTTGCCAAACTCGGGCGACTTGACAAGAACAGCCTCGTGTGCTGAGTATGTGGTGCGAGCTTCTCCGGATCCAACAACGACTTCCACGATTGGACTCTTGATCAGGCTGGTGAGCGGGTTAGATGCATGTCCTTTTCTCTTCCTCTCTCGTTTGCTTTCCCGTGTTTCTATTTTCGGCTCCCCTAAGCAAACCGTGAGAAACGCAGGCGCGCATCTCACCGTGTCTCAGCCGCTCTTACGCCCAGGGCCTCTTCCAGCGTGCCAGCCCGCAACACCTACATCTTGCCCTAATATGACTTACTCTGAGAATAATACTAGCTTGGGCGCTTCAGGCTCAATATCAGCCAAAGCCGTCTCTTCGCCTGCACCTTCTTGTGCACCAGCGCCAGCATCAGCTGCGCCTTCCATCTCTACATCCTCGAGCGGTGTGCCCTCGACAGGCGCCTGTTGCTCAACATCTGTCATGGCAAATACGTCCTCTGAATTTATGATGCTTGGGCAGCGTGAAAGTATATGTCATGCGATATGGGTGAAAAGAAAGCGAGTGGAGGTGCGGGACAAAGCTCAGACGCAAACTAGCTTGCAAGGTCGCTTTCCGAATGTCAGCGCAGAACCAAGTAAGAGATGGATTGCAGCACTGCTCTTTGTATTTTTTTTTAGAACAATGTTTCCAGTGAAAGCAAAATTGCGCTCTAGCAACTGAAACAAAAGAGCGTTTCTAATCGACTTCAAAGTGTGCGGGGCGAATGCGTGGTTGCGAGGTGGCTGGCTAAGAGAGAGAGGTTAGGCGTGATGCTGGGAATGCTGGGGAGAGCTCCAGGGAAGCTCCAACGCGTTGCTTACGCGCTAACGCAGGAACAAGCTCAGCTCGCGCCACTCGTCACCCCTCAGTGGGACGTTATCAACGGCCATATCTCTGTCGACATGCACGACTGCGAAGCCGACAAAACTTGTCCGATTTGAGCACATGATCGAGAGCTTGGCGAAAACAACTCGGTTCGTATATACTATTATCATCTCAAATAGCTATGTGCTTCCGCCCTGGTGACTTGTGTATATCTAATAATCGAAAAGGTAGGTATTTTGAGGTTGTCATTCAAACTCCAGCCGTGATTCCGTGCTCCATGAAATGCAAAAAAGATTGCGTACATATGTACCGACAAATAGCGCTATGTAGCTGATGTAGAAGCGAAATGAAGGTGTGCGAAACGCTGTCAAATTTCCACTGTCTATAAACGACCACTGTTTTCGCGGTAGCGGTCGCCAGTGGTGGGTACTGGCTTGTCTGCCCGGATAACGTACAGCAACAGGTCCTCGAGGGGAATGAAGACGTAAAAGACCTTGTTGCAGAAGAAGGAAAGGAACACGAAGCACGTGGCTACGAGCGCATCCATAAAGTAGTGGTTGGCGGTAGCGACAATAACGGTGAGGATGAATGAAGGATATCCAATGCCAAGCACGAGGTAGAAGATCTTCCAGAATGCGTTTTTGCGAACCTCGCCCGGCTCCAAGGTGCGGCGGAACAGGCCGGAATGGTAAATGAGCGTCATACCGATGCAGAATGAATATCCGAAATGCATTGAAGGCATCGCAGCAAGCTGGTTGACAAACTTACCACTCATCCACACACTCTGTGCGTCGTCATGGCGGACGGTATCAAGGAAGCCGTATTCGGCAGGCAGCAACCGCGGAGGCATGCATGGGAATACGACAAAGGTCATAAAGGCGCAGAAATTGGTGAGGGTAAGCGTGCGGCGGGCGACAGCAAAGGTATCGAATGAGGGGGCAACGTAGTAATACCAGCAGATGAAGCTGTCAAATGTCAGTGTCACTCGACTAAAACTTCCCAAACATGTTCCTTACCCCACAGTGCCGGGGATGTGAATCAGCGCATAGCACTTGTTCAGCACAGTAAGCGCATCTTGATGTCCATGCATAAACCACTGTTGTACGTCGCGCTCCCGGACCGGGAACAAGAAGCTCAGAAAGCCAAATTGCTCTGCCTCCAAAACCGATATTCCGTGCTCTTGCGAAACGTCCCAGATGCCTCGTCCAGCAAAAAGCTTAGCTGATGCAACTGCTGTTAGGCGGTAGAAAGCATAGTTGATGACCCAATAAAACATCTCGATCAAAAACGGGAAGCGCTGCAGTATGCGACTGTGTATGTTGTTGCGGAAGCGCGAAGTGCTGGGTGTAGTAACCTTCCAGCAGCCAATACTCCGGACTTTGGGTGAATTTGGGTTCTTGGCCGCATAGACGTCGTCGAATTCACTGTCGCTGTCTGACTGTTGGAGAAGGCGATCCATCGAATCGTTTGGCGCGTCATCGAGGTAGCCATTCCGACCCGAGGGCGCAGCAAATATTTTGTAGTTTCGTTTCCGTGTAATGAACATGGCGAAGAAGAGAATGCTGGCGACCATCTAGATGCATAGCCATGTTAGTACACCGCACTTTGCATGCAGACTCTGCTGTGCGATTCGGGGACGTACGACTGGTTCGCACCATCCTGGCAGTTTCCAGGCAGGTTTGCTGTTCCATTGGCCATTGTCTGGTAGTGTAGAGTTTGCCATTTTGTGTTGGTTGTACCCGAGTTGGGCACGGTGGTACTGTAGATAATGCGGCCGGGATGCTATCTCATCAAAGATATGATGGAAAGGCTGACGCAAACAAGAAAATGGTGGGCAGACAACACTCTAGTATTCCCCCTGGAACCGTCGTGTCTCGGATAGCGGTCAAGTTGAGGGTCGGTTGACTCAACAAAGGGAAAGGAGAAGAGTGGGAAAAAACAAGAAGCATAGAGTCCAGATCAAGTGGACTTGTCAAGAATAGCAAGCAGGATGCTTTACTTACTCGGTGCCACCGCCAACGGGTCGCGTGCAAGTCCGCCGGGTGCCGAGCAAAGGAGGCCTGACTCCCTGGCCTGGGAATACGCATACGCAAGCGACGTATTGCGGATCGGAGGCTCCACCTTTTCTCACGCGTGCATGGGCGGGGACTTGGTCGCGGACGACGAGTCGATGGACTGGCAGCTGCAGTCAGGCCACGCAAATGTCCTTTGTTAGTCCGATTTGACGCCACAATGCTGCTGTCATCCTCAGCCTGGTAGTGTCGCGTGCTTACTTTGAAGCCGCTCATATAACTAACCGCAAGGGTTTGCTGGCGCTGGCTCTGCAGAACTGCCAAGACTGCTTGGGGAAGACCAGGTGTGCAGTGAGCTGACGTCAACGGACGATTGGAACCTGGCCGATGTCCATGGGTCCAGGGCGAAAAGGGGAAAGGGAGTGCATCGGAGAAGATTTGATCGTCTAAAACGTCTCCATGTCGGGAGAGTTAGCGCCGGGTCTTGTGACAAGCCATGTTCAAAAGTGCATATCGGTGTAGCGCCCAAGTACTTGGCAGCACTGCCATGGATCCTGCATAACAAACTACATCAGGCTACTGCTGCTGCTGTTGTTGTGGTGACATGTTGAGTGATATGTTGTCAGGACGCCTGTGGCTGCCGCACTGCCACCAAGTTGCCCCGGAGGTAGTGTGTTGGTGCAGGATATCTAAAAATGCTAATGGGCATTGCTTGATTCCGCCAGAGGGGCTGTAATAAGAATACAGTGCTTGGCGGACCTGTTCAGGCCTAGCGCCAGTATAGCGAGCCAACTCAATTTTCCCGCCATTCTCCCGCCGGCCGAGCCCGCTACCTTTGCGTTTCAGCCTTGCGACCAAGCCTTTCCGGTCGTTTCGACATGGGCTGCATCTCACATATCCATCATGCGAATCGAGATTGGCGTCTGATGAAGATTGTGTGTACTCGGCGTCCCCTCATCGGCACACTCCGGGCCCGTTTAATATCGTTCGCATTTCTGTGCATATGCCTGCACACAGCCTCCACTCATGGTTACGTATATCCCCTCCACCGTTTTTCTTGGCATCCATAATAGCCAATTAAAAGCATAACACACATAAGCACTATGAAGCTCCGCGCTCTCCCAACATGTCGTGTCTGGGGGAAACCTTCCCCATGTCACATTAAGGTATGCCGATCGCGATAACTAGACTTTGTACGACAGTCTCCATTGAATTAGCTGGTATACTTGCCAATGACAATAGTAGAAATAAGAAAACCGCTTGATCCAGAGGTGGTGATTGGGTTTGCGTAACCATTGAGCTACTTACTAGTAAGGAGTTGGAGGCACACGACATATCTTCAACGTCAAATCTAGCAAATTTGTTTGTCCTTGCTCAAAGGATAAAAATTACAAATTCGATATCGCAACATCACGGACATGTGTCTCCTACCAATCTGCGTACTTGAATTACCAACTACATACATGTGACGTGTCACAACACCAAGTCCAAGCCTACTAGGCAGCACTTTTGACAGTAACAAGGGTGTACGCACACCTGGATAAGATAGCAGTTTTACCTGTACTCAGCCTTGTGGCAGAGTTTCCGCTTTTGAATACGAAGTTTCTACAAAATTAACCGGGTATATCCTGGCTACGCTGACACTAACTGCCGATCATGGACGTCGTGTTTATCAGACCTGCGTAGTACTGCCTACTTGCAAGAGAAGATATTGCTCTAGGCTACAGCCAAGGTCGCCCCGATGTCTCAGGGAAATGCAGGGTGGGTGCGTTGGCAGTGTACTGATATGCATCAACATGGTAGGTGCTTAGGGCAATGGCAGGCGGTAGCAAGACCATGACAAGTGCGAACAACAAGGCACAAGCGTGTATAAAGGTAATGGGTATATTTCATTATTCGTATCATACTCTCATTAGTCAAGACATTGATCCCAGTCAATGTCATGTTTTTGGTCGAAACTCTGCCAAATGGAGCCACTGCTCAAGGCATCGTTGGTCCTCCTCACCACATATGAACCTCAATGGTCCTTGTTGTCCTCTCTTTTTGATCTGCCACAGAGGCAACTCCCTAGAGTTTACCGGCGGTTATTCAGCTGCTACTCTGCACCTTCTTGACGATGGCGACAAGACGGTCAAATAGGGGGTGGTCCTTCTCGATGCCGTTGACCTTGGTGACAACCTCCTCGGCGGAGTGCTCCTTGACAATCTTGGCGAGCTCGACAGACTCCTCATCGCCCTCGACGTTCTGGAAGCGGTAGGCCTGCTCGACGGCGCCAAGCAGAGCATCAACCTTGTCACCCCTCTCGGCTAGCTGAGCAGCGGGACCGATGAATCGCTCCTTGCGAGAGAGCTTGCGCAAAGGAGCACGGCCGACACGCTCTACGTTGTCCTTGAGGACGGGGTTGGAGATGCGCTTGATAATCTTCTCAACATAATCGTCTTGCTCCGAGGCGCTGACGCCGTGCTTGTTGATGATCAAGTGAGCAGTCTCCCGAACAGCATCGCGAACAATGTCGTGAAGCTTCTTGTCGGAGAGAACCTCGTGAATGTAGCTGATCTTGTTCTGGTGTCCGTAGTAAGCGGCGGTGGCGTGTGAAGTGTTGACAGTGAAGAGCTTGCGCTCAATGTAGGGCTCGAGGTTGTCGACGTAGTGGATGCCCTTAACATCTGGCTTCTTGCCACCGTTCTCGAAGGGCTTCTGCTCGACACACCACTCGTGGAACTTCTCAATGACAACATTGAGGCCAGAGTTCTCGGGCTGCTGTGGGACAATTCGGTCAATAGCCGAGTTAGCGAAGCGGGCCTTGCTGTCGATGTTCTTCTTGGTCTCGTCGCTCAGCTTGCCCTCAATGAAGCCCCTCCATGTGGTTGTAGCGTTGATTGCATTCTCGCAGGCAATGACGGCGAGGGGGTAGTCAAGAGTGCGCTTCTCAATAGCCTTGGCAACAGGCTCAGCAACAAACTTGAGGATGTTGGGGCCGACAGCGCAGGTAACGACATCGGCAGAGGCAATCTCGTCAATGACCTTGTCCATCTCGTGCTTGGAGTTGATGGCACGGTAGTGGTCAATGGTGAATTTGCGCTCGCCATCATCACCAATCTCAGTGACAGTGTATGAGGGGGTCTTTTGGAGGGATTCGATGATGGAGTCCATGACATCGACGAAGACGACCTCGAAGCCCGAGTTGTGGAGGAACTCGGCGACAAAGCCACGGCCGATGTTGCCACCGCCAAAGTGGACTGCCTTCTTCTCGTAGGACATGATGGGGAGGTGGGAGTTGGATTGTGTTGCTAGGGGAGAAGCGTTAACTTGGCCTGTTCAGACTGAAGGAAGGTAAGGCGTGGTGAGGAGGAAGAGAAAGATGAGGTGGGGTGAGGGAACTGGAGGGGAAGAGGGGTATTGTTTGGATGTTGAGCAGAGCAGGAAAGCGCATTTGGTGGGGTATTTGTAGCAAGAGCCAAGGCGGGGCTTGGAGCCATGTAGTGAAGGCAGGCAGCTCGTGCAGATGCAGTGTGAGAGCAAGACTTACCTGGCCAGACGGGTCGGCGGCTGGGCGGCGTTGCAGTTGCAGTTGCAGGTGCTTCAGCGTGCAGTATTGCGTGGGTGTGAGAGCGTCACCGGCCAACAAGTACGTGTTTACTTATGCATTGAAAGGGCAGCCAGAGACCCCCGCAAGGCGGTGACGATGCCTGTGGGCACCCGATTGGGCCGCCAGTGTGGCTTATGGCGGCAGGCACAAACGCGCGAGACTTGGACACACACACACACACACATGAACGCGTCGGGCGTGGGTGAGGGGCTACATGGACGGGCGAAAACGACATTAGATTAATACCTCACTCATGTACATGCTACACAAAAAGTCTCACTCGAGCCTCAATACTACCCTCGAGGGCCAGGAACACCTTCTCGGCCGTGGACGCAGTGCCCCCGTCGTGTGATGCTCAACATGACAATACTGACGCTCCGGCTCGATGCCATTGTCTGGTGGGTGGGCGCATCGAGACGTCATACGTCATGGGCGAACTAGGCCCGAGTGGAGCAATCGCTTCCTTCTCCCGCCGGCGGTTTGCGCTAAGCCCAGTTGGTCCTCCTTTTCCTCCAGGGGTGCCCCGCCATGGGCAACGACCATCGTAAAAAAACTGCGCAACAAATGATCGTGATCGATGACTGTGGGTATCGCGTGATATCAAACATTATTATATCTAGTTGGGCTCCAGGTTCTGACCGAAAGCCCCGGCTCGGTGCATAGCTCGACCCTAGGCGTGGATGGCCTGCTGGACATGTGGGTACACTGCTACCATGCGGTGGTAGAGGTCTGGGTGCTCGCGCATGAGGACATCGGGGTCCCACGCCATCGCAACAAAGATCGTATCGATACCGCTGCTCAACGGCGTCGTGAAGATTTTGCCTGCTGACGTTAGTAGACGTCCATCCGTCACACCTCTTTCTTCCATCAAACTTACAGATTTGCAGCCCAATCAAGAAGGCAAAGGCCACCACAACCGGCGTGTAGCCTCCATCCGCATTGTACGCTGGCGACGTGAAGATGAGGTACAGGTAGGCCAGCAGTGCACAGGCGTATGCGATGAAGGTGGCTCCCATGGAGAGTACGGGTCCGATCAAGCACTCGTTGACGAGCGCGTCGATACCCCGATCCTTGATCATCCTGAGAAAGTCAGCTTGCTACTCCCCAAAGTTCACGCCTTTCCAGCACTTACTTCCATGTATCCTTCGCAGCCGCAATATAGCTCTTTCCGTAGAGTGCGATGTAGCTGAACGCATATCGGTTCAAGAACTCAACCGCCCACTCCAGAAGAGAGATGACGCAGCCGAGAATGCAGAACAGGATTGTCCCGACCAGATTTCCCTCGCCAGACGCGTTACGTTGAGCAGCTGAGCAAATCTGTCGCAGGAACTGGATAATGGCCACGAGCAAGCTTCCAAGACTGATGCTGCCGAAGCTGTATGTCATGGCGCGCTTGAATGCACCCCGAGTTGCGCCTCGAGGCATAGCATTGGGCGCGAAGAACCACGAGCCATATACACCAGAAATGGTGACGTGAATGGTGTTCTTCAACCATCTATTCTGCTGTTAGCAAGTAAACTCATCCAGGCTTGAGTCATGACCACTTACTCCGAGATCCAGTACATGGCAAATGTGACAAAGACGAGCAGGCCGATAACCTTGCCATTGCCGCAATCGCCAACGCCGTTCCTACAGTTGGAGTTTGCTCCGTTTGGCGTATACTGGACATAGATCGAGACCAGCGTAACCGAGTACCATGCGCCCAGTGCCGCAGCAAAGATTCCGCCGCCCAACGAGACGAGGTAGGTATGACCATACTTCTTCGATACGTCAATCACAGTCTGCAACATGAGCACACTGAACGGAATCCTGGGAATCCAGCTGATGAAGCAGAAGACGTAAAAGATGCTGAAGATCAAAAATACAATGCCTCCAGACCAGTACCGCCTGGAAAGCATGTAGATGGCCGTCACGAAGCCGAATACAATGTTAAGAATGCCAGTGATCCAGATGAACTGCTTGGTGAACTTGCGCGCTGCCCACATATACGCGTAACTGAAGATGGTAGCCATGCCGAGAACGAATGCGAAGAGGATAATCGTGTTGGAATTGAGCGCAAAGTTGTTAGTGTTGTTGCCGTAGATGCCTCCGCTGTTGGTTCGCGCTGTACCCAGTCATCAGCATTCCTCTTCAGGGGTCGAATCGCAAACTGATACATAATATACTCACCGTATCCTCGAATGGAAATTGCGCTCACGGCAACATAACCCAGAAACGTGGCGATGAAGAGCAGACCCGCCCACCAGTCATTATACTTTGGCTTGTCGAGCTTGAATGTCTGCTCAAAGCTCTGTTTTTCGTTGCCATAGCCATTCTGCTGGTATCCGTTGTTCTGCTGCATCGGTGGTGGTCCTTGGGGCGGCGCATAGCCCTGATTGTACTGGGGAGGCTGCTGTCCATAAGGCTGGCCCTGGTAGTATGCGCCCTGAGGCTGCTGGGGCGGTGCGCCGCCCGAATAGTAGTCGGCAGCTTGACCCTGGGAAGTCATTGCGACAGATGATGACGGCCCTGATGATGCAAACAAGTCGCGACGACGGGCGCAAGGCGATTAGACGGGAGGTGTAGCAGTCAACAAGAGATTGGACCAGCCAGACGAGATGATGTACCGCCGGCGTCATTAGGAGCTAAATAGCTATTCATCTTGGGTGCGACTGTGCTATTGGTGTGGCTGAAGATCGGCATAACATGTCATGGGCGCCATAGGCTGGGTGCACGGCTTCGCAGGTGCGTCGTGCTGTGGCTGCCATCTTGTGAAAGACGCTATCGGCGGCCTAGATGCAACCCGCTTGCAGGTTTCTCTTGCTGCCAAAACTCTAATATTCATGCATTGGCCCTTGGTTCGTTTCCTCGCCCAACCCGCCCATGCTGCGTGCACTCTGAAGTCTTTTCACCATAACGCAAACTTGCCCAGTACCGCCGAACAAAAAAAACAGGGAACATGACGACGTCGACCCAGTTCGTTGTCGTGGCGCCGCGGACTCGTCGCTGCGGCTACACTTGTGGCTGAAAAGCTTGTGTGCCGATCGTCCGTTATGGACGTCCCGATATGTCGTGATGTGAAGCTACGGCACAACGGAAAAATGCCGAGTATGCCGGTGCAAAAGGATTGGTTACTTGCACAACTCTATCGCGATTACCCGTGTTGTCAATCTCAAGATCCTGTTCACATGGACCTATCAAATCGTCTCGTGGGACTTCAGCGGCACGGGGTAAATGAGATCTGATTCGTCCAAGGAAACGCGGCCGTTATATGTATTTCTACCTCTACTAGCCCAACCCTGAACCCTCTTTTTACTCTACTTGCAAGTCGCACCGCACGTGGGTGCACGGAAACTGTTGCAGTAACTGGCTGTCTCGCAGGTAGATCCTACAATCTGTCCATGGCAACCAACAACTAGTGCGAACAGTGTTAGCAAGTGTTCTTCTTATCCAACCAAGCCGACTTACCCATGCACACTTTTCCACCAGAGCAGTCAGCTTTTGTGCTGCACTTGGCACGAGCCGTCAAGCCCTCTACTTGCTCGGCAGGAAGGGCAAAACTAGTCGCCGTCAAGAGCGAAAGTACAGTGGTGATCAGAGCAGTCGAACGCATGGTGTCGAGATTGTGGAGCTGACTGGCGTAGATAGGTATGATATGCTTCAAGAAGATGAGAACGTAGGAGATTGCCTGGTATCACGTCGGTGGCTTGTGGAAAGTTGTTGTGATACCCTGACGACGAAGCTGCCTTGGTCTTTATACCTAGAGAGCTGTAGAACAGCCAAATGGGTTCACTCCTCTCCACTAAGCAAACCGAGCACTCTATTCCATGGCGAAACAGAATAGCCGTTACGAGGTAGTATGCACTGCCAGCGGCTGTGGTCCCTGAGATGGAAGAAACTTTCAGCCGCACCTGAGCCGTTACGTACCAAAATCTCCGTTGTTCCCCTGCGCCACGTAACACTGACCACAAAGCAACCCTGTTGCCAATCTTGGAGCTATATGCAGGGCTTGTGGATCAACGGTTACATCGTATGCTTCCTTGAGCGGCGGTGTAAACAACATGCCAAGGCTCTCTTCAGGCGGAAAATGAACGCCAAGCCGGAATACTTTGGTGGTGTGATGGGCCTGAGTGTCAAAATTCTAGCAGTCTGATTCGCAGCATGCTGACAGGTAAATTATTGTGACCACAACAGCTGCTTAACTTATCCACTCCTTTGACTATTGCAAGCTGAATAGATGTACCAGACCGCTTTATGTCAGCTCACCCTCTTAGACATGCGAACAGTGACACTCTTGATAACTGAGCTGAACATAGCTAGATTGAATCATCTAGGATTGAGCACTGTAACAGTTGTGCGAGGAAGTCGGCGATTTGAAAGATGAGTGACAGCTATACGTAGAATTCGGCGGCTTGAAAAGTATAAAAGCATCAAGATATCGACATAGAGATCATCACAACAACCTGCTGCAACAGCCTTCAACCACATTCTACAACAATTCACTCACTAAAACCCTACATCATCGCCTAATACGCACATTAGCCGTCACCATGGTCGCTATCAACACCCTCATCACCCTTGCCCTCACCCAACTCGCCATCACCGTATCTGCCGGTGACTGCAAGACCCATCAGCTCTACTGCGGCTCGACTCTGAAGTGGCGCGGTACGTTTCCCTCCCATCTCCCAACATCCACCACTTCTCCTGCTATACACTTCCTAACACAATAATAGGCTGGACCAACTCCGAAATCCAGGGTAAGGTGCTGCAAGACTCGTGGAACAATGGCCAGTACCCTGCTGTCGACCAGATTGACAAGTCCCTCTTCAAGTGCGCGGGACAGGGCAAGACGCTCGTTTGGGCTAATGGACGCACCCCCTGCGGCAACTGTGTTGATGGTGGAGCCGGCAAGCCCGACTACTGTGCTTAGATGCTCAATCTCCTAAGTGAAAATGTAGCAACTGGGGGATTTCTCATGTTTCTCTTGTGGTTTCTCAGAAAAGAAAAAGGCAACTCCTGCATATTCGGAAGCGATAACTTTGTAGTACAAAGACTTTATACATCTTAGAAAATCTCGATTTCATTTCGACATACCCTGTCTTGTGCCTCATGAAGTCTTCTCTTTCTTCTCCCTCTCTTTGCGATGTGCCCAGACGTAAAAGAATGGGTACACGGTTTCTGGTAGTAAAGTGACAATCATCCCGCCGATACTCCACCAGTTGCCCACATACGCCCAGTTCTCAGGCACGTTAATGTACCGCCATATGAAAACCAAGAACGCCGCGATGCACCCAAGGTATCTCGTAATCCTATTCTCATTAGCCTCATGTTACATCTCTTCATCTCCAACCGAGGGATAGACCGCAAAACCCCCCTTAATACCCAAAATCACCAGCAAAGCCCCCCCCCCCAAAAAAAACTACTTTCAAACATACCAAATCTCCAACGACTGCCCCTTCGTATCTCCCCTCTTCACCAAATACAAGATCTGCCCCCACCCAATCGGCAACTCAAGATACAACCCCGTAAAAAACGCAGTCTTCTGCCCCCGCTCATCCGGCCACAACCCCCCAACCCACCACAAGAAACCCATCCACGCCGGCGTCTGCCACAGCAACTTCACAATCGTCCTGCCCCTCTCCCCAGGCCCATATGCATACTTTAGCGCCACACTCACAAACGTAATGTCAAACAAAAACCACACGAAGAAGCACGCGCGCTGCAAGGTTGTAGTGGTGCAGACATAGGCGTAGTAAATTTCGTAGGCCATGGTTGCGCTGAGGAATTGCACGGTACCCGCCAGGAAGCGGTCGCTGTAGGTGCGCATGGTGTAGAAGGCGTAGCAGAGGGTGTAGAGGATGCCGCAGGATATGATCAAAAAGTCGGTGATGTAAAAGTAGGATTCGGGGGGTGCGAGGGATACATCGACGGATTGGGGGATTAGGTGGTAGGAGGAGAGTTTTTGGGCGGCTTCGAAGGGCATGGTTTTGGGGAAATGTACTTGGGGTTTTTAGTGGGAGATATTTTGTTGTTGTTGTTGTTGGAATCGTGGTGGTGTGGTATTATTATCTTGTATGATGTACGGATTCGGGATATGCGGGAACGAAGGATATCCGGTGGAGAAGGAAAAGAAGGGCGTATTTACAAGGAGGCAATCAACATTCAATAACAAAAACCTAGGGTGTTGGTTGTAATGTATGTACTTCTATATATTCAGCTATGAAATCACTGCTGACCATGCCCGGCTTCCGTCATGCTCCGGGCGAACGAGGCAGTGCTTTTACGGGTGGTGGATCCAATATCCGGATATGTTCATCTCCACATGATGCGCCTACTTGCTGCCTAGTATCCGCGTCTTCCATACATCCGGCATCCGTCAGCACATCCTTCTGTCGCACTAAACCCCATCATTTCCCCATCCCGGCTGTGCTGCTTCTTATTCGTCTTGTTTCTAATAGCAGGATAATTGACATAGGACAATCAGATTACAAATTCAATTCCAAACACGCAATGTACAGGTGTTGAATGTGAAGTTCAAGTTGGTGATGGCTGATGACGTATGCGCTGGCGCATGTCGCGAACGTCGTGTAGCCTCAGGGTATGTCTAAGTTATCCGCGCTAAGCGCAATGTGGATCAATGCCGCGAATGCATTGCTTTCGTCTGTCTCTCTTGCTGAAGCACAGGAATAGTTTATAGCAAACGTGAATTTTAGTGGTATTGGTGTATACTACAAATGCCGATGTTGAAGTATATGGGTATATAGCACATGAAAGAAAGACCAGAAACCTCTGATGCGACGCCTCGCAAACCTCCTTAGCATGGCATGATGTGACATTAAATGTAGCGCGAGAACCTCCACGAACGGGATCCCACATCTTAGTTTCTCCTGGGTCTAGGACTCTTCGAGGGCCTCGGACTCCTAGGCACCAGACTCTCACCTTGAGCCTTCATCTTCTCCATCGCCTGCTCGACCTGCTGTTGCTTCTTCGCCACATGCCTATGTCGCTTCTCGACTTCTTCTTCAAATTCTTGCGCAAGCTTACGCTTCTTCTGCCTAGCTTGCTTCGTGCGCTGAACGATACTCTGGAACTGATCGAGGAACCAGTCCCCAGCATCCTCCCATTCACTAGTAGGGAGCGAGGAAAAGAAATTGGCTTGCTTGTCTGGGGTGAGATTCTTCTGTACCAGTACAAGACGCTCGGGCAGAGGTTTCTGCGCATCTTCCTCAGTGAGAACAAGAGGCTTCGCACGCGGATTGGTGTCGAAGCTTTCGCTCTTTAGGCTTTCATACTTCATGTTGAAAAGCGCTTCGGCGTCGTAGTCTTCGATTTGGGTATCCTGAAGCTCCTCAATCGCAGCTTGTTCGACTGGTGGTTGATAGCTTGTTTGTTTAGGTATCATTTGTGCTGAAAAGGGGTACTCTGCGGGTGCAGGTGGCTCAATTGGCTTTACGGGCTCGAACTGGAACTGGACATGGGAAGGACCGGGTTGTTGACGATGGACATATTGCTGATTGTTGGCTTCGACATGGGTATTCTGATAGGGGTTTGAGTATATGGGAAAAACTGCAGGAGCAACGCCTGCATTAAACTGATTGTAAGTGGGTGGCTGGCCCGACTGAGGAACGACACGATGCTGCGGGAAGTTTTGCCTAGGTTGTTGCACGCTGGGCACATTGGCGCGCGTCTGATCGCGGAGTTGTGCAGACTGCTCAAACAGCTGCGAAGGCTTATGAAGGCTCTGCCTCGGGACTGGCATATGCAGTTTCTGTTGGCGGTGTGTCGGCTGCAGCACATTTGACTGTCCAGGCTCATGCTTGACGTTGGGGTGCTGATGGAAAGGGGAACTTTGACGGCCTTCATAACGATAACCGGAAGACGGCTCCTGTATACCGTCCATTTCAGAAGGCTCGCCGTTAGTGGTAGTTGGGTATGAATCGCCTTCGACAGCTGGCAGATCCAATCGTCCCGCTTGCTTCAGGAATTCAATCTTTTGAGCTTGATGTAGGTGACCAAGTCCTTTGCTTTCAAGAAAATCCTCATCATCTTGGGTAATGCCTTCGTTTTCCTCTTCGTAAGGATGCTCTGGTTCTTCGGAGCCTTGATTGCTTTCCCCGACATCGCCACTCACACCAAGATCAAAGACTTGCCCATTCTGATGGTACTGTTGCTGATTCTGTGGCCCACCCTCTAACTGAACAACAGATTGGTCGATAGTAGTGTCTAGGCTTTCTGCATCAGTATCGTAGGGATCACGTTTTTGAGTGTGACCTTGAGCCGAATGAACGCGTCGAGGGTTCTGCAGAACAGCTGAGCTGTTCTGAGCGTTGGCAGACCCACGTCCCAGAGCTCCAGACACTGGTGTGCGTCGCTGAGAAGGGAGGCCATTTTTGATTGATACCCTTGCATTAGCACCAACAGCTTGTCGGTCAGTCTTGGGTACGTGTTGGGCATTGGCTAGAGCATTATGTGGGCTGTTGGTGCTCTGCCGGTCTTTGACAAAGCCTTGCATGATGAAGGACGGGCCAGTACCCTTTACTTGCCGTACTAAAGTGCAAAGTGATGTGATAGCCGCGTCTTCAACTTGGTGTGGAAAGGTGAAAGCCTGACTTCGAACGGGAAAGCGCGTCGCAGGTATCGGCTAGCTTGTTGTGGTTTAGCCCCACTTTCTAGAACAATGACGATATCTTATCTCCGGACTCGGTGTACTGCCGTGGCTGTCAAGTTCCTATTGCTGATTCTTGACATCTACACCTCTGCAAGTAAATATATTTAAAACTAACGAATCTGTATTTTTACCTTGTTTGTAGCAATGGAGGATTGTTACCTCTACAGGCTCCCCAACGAGGTATGGCATCTTACAAGGCCATCTCATCTCATCCCAACTAACCATTACAGCTGCTCCTTCACCTTTTCGCACCGATGCCAACACTAGACCTTCTGCCTTTGACTACCATTTCGCGCCGCATATACTCGCTCATCTTACGCATCTTGCATAATCGCCTTGTCGCAGCTGCAGAACTGAATTCACACTCCGTACTCCTCGAATGCTTCCACCCGTCTGCGAAACTTACCGAGCCGGCTTACTTTTGCACATATCGAGGCACTGATGGCTTGAAATTATATCATGACATTGATCCAAGCGAGAAAAATGTAGGCAGATTGGGCGAGATGTATAGAATGTACTCTCGTTACCGACCACACAGACGTGATCTAGAGGCTAGTGGGAGAAGGGTCAAGCCACGGCCAGGAGATGTCCCTGGGAGTCGCACTTTTCCAGGGACAGTGCAGGATCCATATGACGGAGAATCGGTCAAGCAGACGCTGAGCTTGGAAGCACATGAGCTCTTTACGCAATTGATTGCACAAACGAACCTTGTTAAGATTGGATCGCACAACCTTTTCACAAACTTTGTTGAGGTTGAGGAGGGTGTGCTCAGGGTATGGAGGGAGTGGCTCAAAGATGTTTCGGCAAGATGTATAGCAGATAACCGAATAGCGTCGAACGAGGTAGTCGAAGAAGTGGGCAAGGGCAAGGAAGTGGTAAGAGAAATTCTTGGAGAAAAGGCAAATCTCGAGGATCCAAGCATCTTGTGGGTGAGCCCAAGAAAGGACAGCGGTATACGCTTCAATGCGCGTGAGAGAAAGCTCCGCCGGAACTTACCCATCCTCATCAGCGCAGATGAGGATGAAGATATGCCTGTGACTTACGAGATTGAATTTGATGGTAAGTAATACGATGGCTTCTTACCACACCGATCCGGCTGCTAATAGCGTGCAGAACTTCTCATTCGCACGTCGCATCTCTTGTTAATGCTCGAGAGGTCAATGCTGCAGGAGGACAATTCATCTGGCAAGGCGGTAGTTTTCGGCTCATTTGGATAGTACCAACAAACACAACGAATGAAAAAAGAGATTAACTTAATCAAAAAAGTGATCCAGATTCTCGGCTGACAGTGGAGCCACCCCTCACGGCAACCGAATAACCAAACCTCGGAGCCGCATAGCGTATCTGCAAGACCCGCATCGAAGTGCAAAAAAAAGGTTTACTCTGCTCAATTGCCAAAAAGAATTGAATCAGGTATGTGACCTCGAGGCGATTTGAACGCCTAACCTTCAGGAAGCTCCAGTGGTAGATACTGGAATCTGACGCGCTACCATTGCGCCACGAAGCCTGATTGGATGAAAGGTGTCGTAAATTGTAACACCTGTATACTTTGCAAACGCACAGCTTCACGGACTGAAGCTCTAAATCAATCAGATACAAAAATTCAATAAAAGCTGAATGTAACAAAGGCCACGTCTCGACTTTATGGTTTTAATTTACGCTACGCCGACTAGGTGTCTAGCACAAATCCTCGCTGCATGCATTCCTTCCGCCCCACCCGTCCCCACGTGTCCGGCAGACACATATGCAGGGCTCTCTAGACTAGCAAAAAGGAGGTTTCTCTAAGCGACACAAGGACTCAGGATTGACAAAAAAGAATTGTAGCTGTTCTCCGCTCCCAGAATCGAACTAGGGACCTTTCGATTACAATTGCAATTACAGTCGAACGTGATAAACCAACTACACCAAGCGGAGGAATCCAGATAACTGGGCTTGTGATTCGATATGAAAATTGGGTACAAGATGGAATATATCGCTCGGGTTTTTGCTGCAGGGTAGATGAGCTTTGGAAGGTTGGAGGGCCGGATGCCCGAATTGGGCAATGCTGAGCAGACAGTCATGAACCAATTATAGGACACAGAGTCAGGCTTGGAGAACTCACACGGTACTCGCATCACCCAATGTGCCGTCAATTCTAATCATTGTTTCATTCATGACGTCCATGTAAAGTACAAGAAAATCCCGTAAGCAGTCGCAGTTCCCACCATGAATGACATCATAGCCGTGGGGTATCTGGAAACCCGAAAAGAAGAAAAAGCAGCAGTTGTAGTAGCAGTTCCATCGCTGTGAGCGGGAATTCTGCAAAAGAGGCAGTCGTGCATAGAAGCACTGTCCATCGATGCTCAATCCCTGAAGTCACCCGAAAAAAATGCAGGTATCCTCCCAAGGCGTACTTTCCCTGAGACCTCATTGCCAAATGTCGTGATTCGAGAAGTCACGATCTGCAATGGGAAGAAGGGGTTGTTGCACCCGATCGATGTGTCTAACCCATAGATACCGTAAACGCCGTTGAAATGCCCTAAACCAAGCGTCGTATCATTGACGCAGCATGTGGAGCGTTTGTGAAGACCGAGCTTAGCACGATCAATTAGTTGTCCTGAGCAGTCTCGATCTGAGCGTACTCTATCCAGTGACCGTTGGCTGCCTGCTTCCAGGTACGGATGCTGGCATCATCGCCAGTAGTCACGAGGAGATCGCCTAAGGATACTTGTTAGCGCTGTCAAGTTACCGGTCTGATCAACACATACCCATCTGGGAGAAAGCGACGCGCCAGACAGCACCATGGTGGCCAGTGAGCTCATCCTTCAAGGCAACTTCCTGAGTGATGCGACCAGGGTTCTGTTCATTCTCGAGGGACATTGCCGGCGCCTTTGAAGTACCAGCCAGCCCAGCTCCTATGCCAGACTGCGCAATGTGCTTGAGACCAGCGCGGGACGATACAGATGGCGCGACAGCCGACGAAGAAGTTCCGGATGTGTGAGCCTTGTCTGCAGTAGTTGTAGTGAGCTCGTAGATGCGGATAGCGCCATCTTTGCTAGCCGTGGCCAAGATGTCATAACCGCGCATGGAGCCATTAGCCCAAGCCAAATCACGGATGACTTGACGCGCGCCAGTGAGCTTTGCAACTTGGAAGAAGCGCTTAGCTTTATCAGTGCGGAAGATCAAGACGTCTTTCATGGCAGCAACGGCGAGTGACAGTGACTTGCGATCGAGGCCTGCAGTGATAGCGGTCCAACATGGAAGCTTCTCCTTGTGGAAAACAACCTTGAAGCCTACCTCTTCCTGGCGCTCAGGAGGGTTGTTCTCAGAAACCCAGCGCTCAGCCAAGATGGTCCACTCGTGGAGGTTGCTCTGATCCTGAGGCTCATACACGGTCAGGTAGCCATCACGCGTAATGAGCGCGAGCCAGGTCTCCTGCATGATGTTCTTGAAATCCAAAGACATGAAGGGAGCATTGGTCAGCGAGGCAAGATTGTAGAGCAACTTGAAGCGATTGCCGGAAAGGGCAACCTCAGTGACATCCTCTTGCCAAAGCTTGCAGCGGCCATCTTCTCCGATGCTGCCAACAACCTCGCCCATGAAGGGCCCGTTCCACTTGACCTAGCATTGGATTAGCCACAAGTTATGAAGGTGGCAAATTACATGCAGACAAGCTAAACGAGGCTTGCGGCTGACGATGAGATCACTCACATCAACTATCTCGGCATCATGAGCCTTCCAGCTCTCAACCAGGGTCCACGAATCGTCCTTCTTGTCCCAGACCTTGAGGCGATGGTCGGAGCTCGCCGTGACCATGCGCGTACCAAAGTAGTTGAAGTCGACGGCAAGCACCAGGTCTTGGTGGCCATGCGAGAAGGTCTGAAAGCTACGCTCAGCCGCCATAGTCTGATAGGCGCGACGCGCAGCCACAAAGGCAGTTTCGAGGTGATGGACGACTTGCTGGTCAATGTGGCCTGGGCTGCCGTCGGCACAAGGCTCTTGAATCAACGGAGCGATCAAGTCCACGTGCTCAATCTCATCCTCGAACGAGACGGCGAGGTTGAGATTGGATGGGGGGTGAGGCAACCGTGCTTCTTCTCGGGTGGGGCTGAGCGAAGACGACTCGCTAACCGCTGCGGAAGGCAGTTGGGACGTAGTCAACCGTCGAAGAAAACCCGGAGTTGCAAGATGTTGGCTCACGGCATTGAGGTCGTCCAGGAACGGGTCGGGCCTTGCAGAGCGGCCTGCCTGGTTGTTGCTGGTCATGATGGTGCCAATGTTCGTGGGTCTAACGTTTCGGGTTAGTAGAGCAGGAAGAAGCCGGACCATGGCAAAACAACACCTTGCAAGAAGTTCTGCTCACCAATACACCGCGTTCGCTACTCTGCGCGAATTGCTTTTTTTCTTTGGTTGCTGCTCGCTCACCCTGCAGGTTAAGCCAGGATCGGTCGTTGTGGGTTGAAGGCCTATTCTGTGTTTCTTTGTCAGTTTCAACACCTTCTCAGCACTCCACGCAAGTCCGGATAGAGGTTTGACGCGGCGAGGTTCGCAAGTGTGGAGAGGTGTCGACTTGACGGTGCTGAGTCGAGGGTACAGGCCTGCTGTTGATATTGCTGCGAGAGCAAACGGCGGACTGCAACTCACGTGCCAAGATCCGCCGTCACCTCGACTTTTGATTCCCATTACGGTCACGATGACGAGCGTATTGTCATGGGCAGAATCACTTTCACTGTTGTCCCTGTCAGTCGCATGCGCGGGTGTGCTGGCAAACACGCTTCACGGTGACGGTGAGCCGCTAGTTGCGTCGATAGCATTTAGCGGATTGGCGTTCGTATCCTGCTACGCATTGATCCGATGGCTCGGGGATGCCTTCATGAGGCGTGGCTTCAAAGGAAAGGATCTCTGTAAGCTGAAGCAGACTGAGATGTAGGTGCCAAGCCTTCTCCTGGCCACTGCATCTTGCTAATGTTGACAGACCTGAGATGATGGGAGCGGTGTGCGCAATGGTATATCTCTTCATTATCATCTTTTTCATACCATGGCCATTCTACAAAGACATTGTAGTCGCAACCTCAGGGGGCGGCAACAGAGATATTATCAAGGAACTGGAGTTAATCGAGACGGGCAGACTTCTACACAGGTTTCCTCACAACAAGCTTGCATCATATCTATCAGCCATTCTCTCACTTCAGACTATTGTGCTACTCGGTGTTGGCGATGACTTGTTCGACATAAGATGGCGCCACAAGGTGCTCATTCCAGCCTTTGCCGTCATTCCCATGCTCGTGGTATACTTTGTCGACTTTGGCGTCACGCAAATGGTTGTTCCTGTTCCGCTCAGGCCTTACCTGGGCGAGTTGTTCGATCTCGGTATGCCTTCTGTCTGAACTCAGTGTGTTATCTGGATACTAACAAAGAACAGGATGGCTATACTATGTCTACATGGCACTCATGTCCATATTCTCTTCCAACAGCATCAACATTTTGGCAGGCATCAACGGCATCGAAGTGGCTCAGTCGGTGGTCATTGCAGTTCTCATTGTCATCAACGACATACTGTATCTTTCCCCCTTCACGCCCTACCCTCATCCGGCGACAGACTCGCATCTGTTCTCACTGTACCTTCTGCTTCCCTTTATCGGAGTCTCTGTTGCGCTGTTGATGCACAACTGGTATCCGGCAAAAGTATTTGTGGGCGACACATACTGCTACTTTGCAGGCATGGTGTTTGCCGTTGTTGCAATTCTTGGGCACTTCAGCAAGACGCTGATACTGCTCCTTGTACCACAAGCATTCAACTTTGTCTACTCGGCACCCCAAATCTTCCATGTCATTCCGTGCCCCCGACATCGGCTTCCACGTTTCAATGCACGGACTGGACTGCTGGAGCCCTCGCGCGTTGAATTCACCAAACCGCTGCGAAAACCGATAGCGGAGACTTTGAAGGTGCTACACCGGCTTCGGATGCTGGATGTTGAAGTCAATGCAGAAGGGCAAGTGGTTTCGTCGAGTAACTGGACGCTAATCAATTTATGGCTGGTGTGGTTTGGGCCGATGCGGGAAGATCGGCTGGCCATGGGTCTGCTGGTATTCCAGTTCGCCGTTGGCATCTTGGGCCTGTTTGTTCGGCATCGGATGGCATTGCTTATCTTCACTGCTGATAATCTGTAGACGGTTTGGGATGGCGGGTTTCGTGAACTTTGGCTTGCGTGGCATAACGGCGTCCATTGGCGGCGGCCATTTAGACTTTGATGTATAATACCGAGCATCAGTGTATGCTTTGACAGCAATCTACACCATAATACTTGGCGACTTCACGTCGCCCCGGAACATGGCGGCAGTATGATCTTACTATGACCCATGTTGTATGCGGTCGAGTATTCGTTGCTCCTACATGATGTACATGTCGAGGTGGCGAATCGGAGTATGGAAAAAGAAGCTGACCGTGCAAGTCGCCTGCCAAGGCCTCACGGCGGGGCAGCGAGAATGCGGGGCAGTGACAGCGGCGGCTGGCAGCGCTTGAGCTTCGTCACCGACTCGGATATCCTCTGTACCTTGACTGGCTCTTGCCACACCATTGGAGATGCACTGCAAGGTTACCTTTCCACATGTACTGTACTTCTGGTATAGTACCGCGCCATTAGCCATCATCCGCTCCGGAATACCCTGGCCATCCGCAAAATACCGCAGCCCGGCCGGCAGTGGACATTAGAGCGCGCAGTCATCATTCGCCGTGTGATTGGTGGCGGTGCCCCTCCCACCGCAACTCCGAACATCGGCCAGCTTCTTTGTGCCTTGTTCGCCATCCATCGGTTTGAGTTCCACATGCGCATCTTTTAAGCCGATATCTGCCCTTTAAGATCTATCTGTCATCTCACATCTCCCTCTCTTCACCCCTCTGAGTTCTCCGTTCTCTAATCCCAAGTTTACCTTTTTGTACGACCTACATTTTATATCTCCACTATGCCGTCTGCTGTGAAACAACCGCAGACCTTGTACGACAAGGTCTTTGAGGACCATATCGTTGAGGAGAAGGAGGATGGCACAATTCTGCTCTACATTGGTACGCGTTGTTCCGTGCATTTTAAGTCATTTCCACTGACAAATTTGCAGACAGACATCTTGTCCACGAAGTGACATCACCAGTAGGCAAACCCCGGAATCTGTACAATTCTCTTCAAAACTTACCAACCGCGTACAGCAAGCGTTTGAAGGCCTCCGAAATGCCGGCCGCAAAGTACGAAGACCAGACTGCACTCTTGCAACAGTAGACCACGTACGTCATGGATCCTCATAATCCGTCTGCTTGCTAACATGAACAGAACATTCCTACTGCCTCACGGAAAAACCTCACCACGACGGAGAAGTTTATCGAGGAGGCCGATTCCCGGTTACAATGCATGACTCTCGAAGAAAATGTCAAGGCGTTCGATCTCACATATTTCGGCCTCGACGACAAGAGGCAGGGTATCGTCCACATCATCGGACCGGAACAAGGCTTCACGCTTCCCGGAACAACAGTCGTATGTGGCGACAGCCACACATCTACACATGGCGCTTTCGGTGCCCTCGCCTTTGGTATCGGTACGAGTGAAGTCGAGCATGTTCTGGCGACACAGACCATTATTACCCAGCGGAGTAAAAACATGAAGGTCCAAGTCGATGGCGAGCTGGGTCCTGGTGTTGGTAGCAAGGACATCATTCTGCATGTCATTGGCAAGATTGGCACAGCTGGAGGAACTGGTGCCGTCATCGAATTCTGTGGTTCAGCTATTCGCGGGTTGAGCATGGAGGCGCGCATGTCCATGTGCAACATGTCCATTGAAGGAGGTGCAAGGGCTGGTATGATCGCACCCGACCAGACCACCATTGACTACCTTAAGGGAAGGCCATTGGCACCAAAGGTCGATAGCCCAGAATGGAAAAAGGCATGCAGCTACTGGCTCGGCCTCAAGTCAGACGAGGGTGCCAAGTACGACATCGAGGTCTTGATCGACGCAAAGGACATTGCCCCAACAGTTTCTTGGGGTACTTCTCCCCAGGACGTCGTCCCTATTACTGGAGTTGTGCCTGGTCCCGACGATTTCCAGGATGAAGTCAAGAAGGCAGCGTGTGTGCGAGCCCTGAAATACATGGGCTTAACCGCTGGTACCCCCATGCAAGAGATTTCGTTGGACAAGGTCTTCATCGGATCTTGCACTAACGCTCGTATTGAGGATTTGCGCTCTGCTGCGCGTATTGTAGAGGGCAAGAAGATCGCCTCAAACATCAAGCGCGCCATGGTCGTGCCTGGATCTGGTCTTGTTAAGAAGCAGGCGGAAGCCGAAGGCCTAGACAAGATCTTCACTGACGCCGGGTTTGAGTGGAGAGAGGCTGGATGTTCAATGTGTCTCGGCATGAACCCGGATATCCTTTCTCCCGGTGAACGATGTGCGTCAACATCGAACCGTAACTTCGAAGGTCGACAAGGTGCTGGTGGCCGAACTCACCTCATGTCGCCCGCCATGGCCGCTGCCGCTGCCATTGTAGGAAACCTGGCTGACGTACGAAAACTCGCACCGGAAACCTCAACAGCAGCCAAGGGCTCGCCAAAAATTGAACTCGACGCTCATGTCGAGGCCCCAAGTAGCGATGAGGAGTTTGATAAACTCATGGACCAGCCCAGCTCTGGACCACAGCACACTGCTTCCAACACGCCCAGCACAGAAAACGCCCCTGCCGGCATGCCCAAGTTTGAAACCCTCCGCGGATACGCAGCACCCATGGATATTGCAAACATTGACACTGATGCAATCATCCCCAAACAATTCCTCAAGACTATCAAGCGCTCCGGCCTTGGCAGCGCTCTCTTCCACGCCTGGCGCTACGAAGCCGGTGGTGACAAGGAAAACCCAGACTTCGTCCTGAACAAGGAGCCCTACCGCAGTGCTAAGATCCTGGTCTGCACTGGACCTAACTTTGGTTGCGGATCAAGTCGAGAGCACGCCCCCTGGGCTCTGCTTGACTTTGGCATTAAGTGCATTATCGCCCCTTCGTTTGGCGACATCTTCTTCAACAACACATTCAAGAACGGCATGCTTCCCATCCGCATTGAAGATGTAGCTACCATCCAGCGTATCGCCGACGAGGCGAGTGCCGGTAAGGAGATTGAAGTCGATCTCCCCAATCAAGTCATTCGCTCTGCCGGTGGTACCGAGCTAGCGAAATTCGACGTCGAGGAGTTCAGGAAACACTGCCTTGTCAACGGTCTGGACGACATTGGTCTCACCATGGCTAGTGTTGACAAAATTGAGAAGCACGAGCAGAAGCGTACTGCGGTATGGCCGTGGCTGGACGGCAGTGGCTACCTGAAGAGACATGGTAGGGGACCAGTCAAGATTCAGGCGCAGCCTGTGCCCAAGACCAACAGGGGTGAGGAGCTCAAGGAACCGCTTGAGTGGTAGACTTGATGAAGAAATATGGGGTCAACAAAAGTGGTTTCGTCTTCGGACTTGTTCTCGTTTTCTATTTTTGGGCAGGGTCGTTTTTTTGGCTCTCGTGTATTAGTGAGGAGGATAACGCTTGCTGCTCCGGGCTTCGGGTAATCATGTTATGAAGCTAATTAATGACGCGAAATGAAATGAATCTACCAAGATTCTGATATTCAAATATTTGGTATTAATATGCAATCGTTTCTCAGATAATCACATCTTGATTGTTATTTCTTTTACAAAGCATGTCACGCTATGCTATTCCGCGCATCATTTTACAACGCCCAAAACACCTATATCGAGAAAGAGAAGAAGGATATCGCACATCACCTATACACACATATACCATATATGCGTACTGACAAATTCCCAACACCCCAATCTCTACCGTGTCTGCGGCCCAGCTAATCCAGGCCCATCCCTCGTCCACCCACCCTTACGCATGCCATCCTCAATCCTACCCCAAATCCTCTCCACAACCTCTCTATCCCTCCACCTCCCCTTCTCGCTCCCCGTCCACTTATCCACAGCCACAGGTAACACACCACGGCCGAGCTGCTTGACCGTCTCGGGCGGCTCCTCGGAACTCCACCCAACATAGATACCCGGGTAATTGGCAAACAGCTCCGCAGGCTGCGTATACTTGTACGACTTGAACTGCCAGAGCTGGCCCGTGGTAAAGATGCCTACGACACGGCTCCAGTACGTGGGTTTGAAGGAGGCGGTGCTGTCGACGCAGATGAAGGTTAGGGGCTGTGAGGATATCGAGGGGAGGAGGCGCTGGATTTGGATCATGTTTGCGCTGGCGGACGTGGAGGACGAGTCAGTTGTGTTGGGGGGCACGAAGACGCCGTCGGAGAGGAAGGTTTTTACGTTTGAAGTGCGGAGTAAGGAGGAGGCGGAGGGCGAGAGAAGGATAATGGGTTGGAGGCGGCGCTGAGGTCGCTTTTGGAGGTTTGCGACGAGGGCGGGTTGGGGGGCGGGGACTTTGGGGTCCGAGGGGCGGGCGCGTAGGAAGGTTGCTGCGATTTTGCGGTAGGGGGAGAAGTCCTGGGGGTATATGTTAGCATCGTATTCATTCGTGACTCTTTTTGCTCAATAGATGGTATACGTACGACGTTCTTAGTGCCCCTCAACACGCTGTTGTGATCTCCCATTTTCCTCTCTCCATCATAAATCTGTAGTAATCGTGCATCCATCATGCCTCCTGCACTTCCTACTTTAATGCCTTTTCCACCATCAACTGGGACTCCCTTCCCACCCGCAATGGCAGCAGCGTCACCCGCCGCAGCGCTGAGAGCACCTCCATCTACAGCAGCAATACTGTCACTGCTCTCCGTCTCTCCACTCAGCCAGGCAATCAGTTCAATCTTCTGCGCAAATGTCAGGTTTTGCACGCTGCCTCCCGCGCCACTTGGCAGCTCTTCATTCAGCGTCTGCACAGCGGCAAAATAATCCGTGACGGAAGCGTCTTTGTTGAGCCATGCAAAGTAGCAGCTGCGCAGATCAACGGGCTTGCCATCAGGTGCGAATCGCGTGGGGGTGTTGAGAGCAAAGTTACGGTGTTGGCCCGAATCGAAATTGAACGAGATGTGCGTGGCTTGTGAGAGATCGGTGACGGTATCTGCAGGTGTGGGCGTTGCGCTTGTGGTGAGGATGGGTGTTGCGTTGGCTTTGATGCTGAGCCGGAGGTTGTAGAGCGCGTCTGCGACTTCGGCTTCGGCGGCGGCCATGTTTGCGTTGTTTGGCACGTCGGGCGCGTGGAAAGAGGAAATTGTCGTCGAGGACGTTGAGAGCGGGAGTCGCTGTAGCTGTTGGTTCGAGCTGTTTCGCGACAATGCGACGGGGGACTTTTGGGGATGAGGCCGGGGTTTCTCCGATTGGGGACGTGCCTCGGGTTTCCGCTTTCACCAGTCGGTCGTGTTTTCACCCTCTATGTTGAATTTCATCAACTTATTTACCGAGATAATTATTTAGCGCTTTCACAAATTGCCTATTTGGGCTCATGGTTGCCTGGTTGTACAAGGATCCTGTTGAATATACCCTGAAATACTCTAAAATAGGTCCCATGTAGTGTCTTCAGCGGTGAGATATTGTGAAGAGTAAAAATAATTTGGACTTGAGTAAATGACGTAGAGACCCGGACATAGTCGTGATGATATAGACATGATATTCTTTGTCAACAGACAAGATTCATATCTATTGTGTAAGACAACTGTGTAAGTAGGGTAATCTGTGTAATTTTTTTTCACTTTGTTGCATTAATGAAATCTAAACTAATGCCTACCTTTTCTGCTGTCTGTTTCTAAAGATACCTTATATATATTTCCCACGAATAATGATATACTCTACATATTTCCTATGCCCTACAAATAACCCATAGCTGGTATGGAAGCAGTGGTACAAAATCGAGAGGCACTGAAGCGTCCGAGAGGTGAAATGGCTTTCTGTGGCCCGCTTTAGTCGGGTACAGATTGGTCTAGCACCAAGGAAAGAGAATATGTGAAAACAGAGACAAGAAACAATTGACTTTCTCTCAACTACACGTAATAAATATAAGTATAGTTCATGTGCAACAATGGATACGTACTAGGTATCGGTTTCCGGTTAACGTGTTTCACCAGTGATTCGGCCACCCCAGTGATTCGGCCACCTCCCCGCGATACCCCACCACTATAACAATAACGCGTAATGCCTTAACCACGCAACGCGTTAAAAGCCTATACTAAAGGAGATCTATTTCTTACTATTACTAATCTTAATTCTAAATAAATTTAGAGTAAACGACGCGCTATAATTACCTATAATATTTTATTAATAACTATCTAAAGCTAATACGCTAGCTAATACTTATAATATAATTATAAACTACTAACTAAGTATCTAATAAAACTAGAAAAGTAGACTATTACTTAATATATAATAGTTAAAGCTAAGTAAAAACTACTCTATAGAAAAAATAATACAGAGGGGTGACATGAAAAAAACGTGTTACTAAAAGTTCTAGTTTTTAAACTAGTATAACTCGGTGGATATTAGAGCTATTCCTAATCGGGCTAGCTCATTTTAAAGCTAAGAAGTAGTAGTTGCTTCTAAGAATGCTTA